CACCTCCGCCCTCGAAAGGGGAGGGTGAAACACCGCTCCCTTCCCAACCCAGGGAAAGAGGGAAGAGGCACGCCCAGTTCGTACCATGTTCAGGAAGAAAACACTGCACAAACACTGCACCAGGCGCATGACACAGCACAGCGCGAAAATGTTCGGTTCTATGTAGAAATCAAATCCGTAATCCGTTGGAGTGAGGAGTCAACGCTGCCAGGCAAGCCGTGGTTTGTAGAAACGGTGGCATGGCGGAAGCACAGAGAACTTGAGAACGCACTCGAACATGGACCTCGTCGCTTGGCCCATTCGTTGTCCATGGCCCTTCGACGAGCAAAGACGTACAATGATAACCACCATTCTTAAGCCGCTTTGATTGTAAACAGCCCTTCATAGGCTGTCAGTCACGCGGGTAAGTTCAAAGAATTCTGCGAGGGGAAACGTTGGCCTCGCAAAATTTCAAGTACGGTTAGCGTGTCATTGTCGCTTTTGGTTCACCTCTGAGAGTGCTGTCCAGCAACACGTCTCACGTCTAAGCGGCGCGATGCCGGGGAGGCCGATCACAACACCGCTGTGGCCACACTTCGATTAGGCTAAATGTAAAAACAATGTGTAAACTTTTTTTTTTCGCTACAGGGAAACGAAAATGATGTGAACAGAACGGCACGGAAAACACAAGCATCAACTATTGTGAGTTTATTTGCACACTGTACTGAAACAAAATATACATACACAAGAAAGGGCACGAACAACAGCCCAAAAAGAAACACTCACAAACGCGCAAGAAATATATGAAGAGTGATGCTATCCTCACTCCGGCACCTACGTGTCTTGAGGTGTATTGTATTCCATACTTTAAAGGAAACGACACACCTCCATCTCTATTAACTATACCCAACTGGCCCCTGCTATGGCTGTTATAACAAAAAATCACAGCATATCTATGAAGTGAATGATGATGAGTGGGGCGAAGCGTTCATCCGTCCGTCCGTACGCACAAGAACGGACTTCTGGATGGAAGCACGGATGGACAGGGAGACAGACGGACGGAGGAATGGACAGACGGATGGACAGAAGCACGGGCGCATGAACGAGCGGATGGCGGACGGAAGCATGAACATACACATAGAAGAAGGGACGGACGGATGAACTCACGGATGCACAGAAGGAAGAACGTACGGATAGACGGTAGCGTGCACCGACGGACGAAAGCATGGACGGAGAGACAGACAGATGGGCTCACGAATGAACGGACAGACAGACGGAAGCACGAACCGAAGGATGGTTGGACGTACGGATGAATGAACACACGGACGGACGAGTGGATGCTTCGCCCCACTCATCATTCACTGCGAGAGTATGCTGTGTAAACCACAAACGACATCTAGTTATATTATTTCCCAGGACGTAAGAGTTACTCTATATGCTATATACAGTAACTCTAAAGATGGATGGATGGATGGATGTGGCTGTACCCTTTAGATCTCGTGGCGGCTAACGCCACCTAGTCGTAATACTTTGTGAACCACCAATTAGTTTTATCTTTTTTTTTCCTTTGAATAGTGAAGTATACGAATGGTACTTTGCAGTGAATTGTTTAATTTTCACACGTGCCTTGACTTCGGCGACCAATCTGATAACCTTCTTCTATTTATTTCTATCCGCTTAAAGTCTATTTTGCCCTCCCTGTCTGTAAACCTCAGTGCTTTGAAAAACTCTGCGCCATCATCCTGAACTATAGGGTGAAGCCCTTTACAGAACATTATCAAGTGTTCGGCAGTTGTCTCCTCTCCGCATGCACTGCAAACCGTGTCTAACCCTTCGTATTTGGCCCGATATGTCTTGGTTCGCAATACTCATGTCCTGGGCTCAAACAATAGAGAACTACCCCGAGTATTATCCTACATCTTTTCCTTGGCAATTTCCCGCTGAAAAGTTTGATAGATCTTTAGTGCGGACTTATTAATCATGCCAATTCTCCACATATCAGTCTCCGTTTCCTTCACCTTCTTCTTAACTTTTTGGTTTGGCCCCCTGCTGTTTTCTGAGTATCTACCCGTCAATTTTCTGTTTCACTTCTCCATTTTGTATCGACGTTCTTCATGTACAAGTAGCTGAAAACCTTCCTCGCCCAACGCTCCTCCCCCATTTCTCTCAATCGCTTCTCAAACTTTATCTTGCTGCTAGCTTCCCTGCCCTCAAATGATGTCCATCCCATATGACCTTGTACTTTCTGATTTGGTGTATTCCCGTGAGCTCCTAATGGAAGCCTACCTATTCAACGTTGCTTAATTTCTAATCTTGCTTGAACTGCTGATCTCATGTACAAGACCACATTGCCGACCGTCAGAGCTGGAACCATGACCCATTTTCATATTCCTCTCAAAACATCATACATATTGTTATTCCACAGTGCCCTATTTTTCATCACTGCTGCATTCTTGTTACCTTTAGTGGTTACGTATATTTCGTGTTCCCTTACGTACTCGGTCCCATTGCTTAGTCATACGCCCAGATATTTGTATTTATCTGTTATCTCTAGCGTGACCTCCTGTGTCCTAAGCTCACTACCTTCATTAACATTAAAAATCATGACTGCTGATTTTCCTTACTGAATCTGAAATCTAACGTATCTCCCTCATTACCGCAGATGTCCATCGATCTTTGCAAATCTTCCTTAGTGTCAGCCATTAGCAATATATCATCTGCGTACATTAATGATGATACTGCTTGTTCAACGAGCTTTCCTTGTTTGACAAAAGAGTGGTTGAAGCCAAGTCTACTTCCCTCTAATTTGGCCTTTAATTCTTGTAGGTACATCATGAATAACAAGGGTGACAGAGGACACCCCTGCCTAAGCCCCCGTTTTACCTCCGTGGGCTTAGATACCTGTTTTTCCCATTTTAAAACTACCTTGTTACTTTTATAGATATCCTTTAAAAGATTAGTGACTCCATCTTTCACACCTAATGTGGCCAGTATTCCCCACACCTACACAAGACATATACACACAACGCCATCTACTGAGCACGTATACACAGGACATATACACACATCGCCTTCTATTGAGCAACTCATAAACTAGAGGTTGCTACATGCTACTACTGTGGTTACAGAGGAGGGAACGACTCACCGCCTAAAGAGATTCGCCCCTGAAAGATTACGACTGCTCCACAGCGCATCCCACAGTTTATGAAGCCAATTTAATTAACGGAATGAACTGCGCCTAGCAGAAGTCGAGGCGCGTTTTCTTGCCGTGTGCGCAACCTCCTAATTGCACAGTAGCACCGCAATCAACTTCTGCTGGGCGCGGTTTATTCCGTTAATTAAATTGGCCTCCTAATGGCACAGCGGCGCTGCGCTCGACTTCTGTAACGCGTGGTTTATTCCGTAAATAAAACAAATTTAGTAGCGCGCGGTTCATTCCGTTAACTAAAACGAATTCGACTTCTGCTAGGCGCGGTTCATTTCGGTAATTAAAACAAACTCTGTAATGCGGTTCATTTGGTTAACTGAATTGGCCCTCTAATTGCACGGCAGCGCCCCGCTCGACTTCTGCTAGGTTCGGTTCATTCCGTTAATTAAAACGAATTCTGTAATGCACGGGTCATTCCGCTAATTAAAACGCAATTAAAACGGCCCCTTCATTGCACGGCAGTATCACGCTCGACTTCTTCTAGGCTCGGTTCATTCCGTTAATTAAAACGGCCAGCGTCGCTCATGCACTCGCGAAATGCACCGCGGATGGCACCAAACTCATACGGAAAAGCCACAACTACAAAAAAAACTTTTCAGCCAAATTTAGCGGCAGTCTGGCAACAAGCACCCCAAAATCTGGCAACTGATTTATTGATTGATTGATTGATTGATTGATTGATTGATTGATTGATTGATTGATTGATTGATTTGTGGGGTTTAACGTTCCAAAACCACCATTTGATTATGAGAGACGCCGTAGTGGAGGACTCCAGAAATTTTGACCACCTGGGGTTCTTTAACGTGCACCCAAATCTGAGTACACGGGCCTACAACATTTCCGCCTTCATCGGAAATGCAGCCGCCGCAGCCGGGAATCGAACCCGCGACCTGGCAACTGATTTATGCAACGCCAAACAGAATCTAGCCAAGAACTCCAGGTCGTCGAAATTTTTGGAGCCCTACACTATGGCGTCTCTCATAATCATGTGGTGGTTTGGGGACGTTAAAACACACATATCAATCACATCGCTCGAACCTTCATCTAGCAGCAAATTACAGGAAAAGGGGCTGTGCACCGCTTTTTAGTGACACTTCAGTGACATCCCGTCATAATGATGTAAGAGCGTGTGAACTTGTTCAAGCTGTGCACTCTCACTAGGAATCTGAGTCTTGCGCTAGTGTTGCCTATAGCTTTACATGAAACAGAGTCAAGTTAACTTAGTTTTGTATGACAGGCGTCATTTATGTGATCTGGGTTTTTGCTGATTTGGTACCTCTCCCCTTTTTTCGCTCCCTCTTTTCCTACTCTGCCTTATCTTGCTTTTTATCCTGTCCTTCATGGTGCCTTCATCTTGCAATAAAGCTTCAGTTGATAGTCTATGCTTGTCTGTCCTTTTTACTCCTTTTGTGTTTCTGTAGTTTTTCTGCAATCGCATATTGAAAAATGCAAGGGCGATGTACAACCGCGGAGTCAATGCGATGTTGATTTCCACTTTTAATCAGAATGCGCATCTTGCCGGATCCGTGCCACTTCGCCGGCTTAGCACACTATATTTCAATAAAACAAACAACACACCACAATCCAGTTGCCGAAACGATACCCAAAGAAGGTTCTCGACACGTGGTGCAATATCAATGGCCCTCTCATGGCGTGTGCCTGAACTGGATTACTGCGTTCGAAGCAATCTGCCTGGTTGAAAAAGCTGGCGAATTCTTCGCTGAAAAGTAGGCCGACAGCTGGCGACTACTACATAAACTGGCAATGTTCTTGTTTTTTTTTTCTTTGGCGTCAACCCACCGCAAGCGCCTTCCGCAGCGCTGCTGTGGTTTGGATTACAAAACAGTGACATGAACGTGGCACTTCAGTGTTTGATGAGACACAGAGTCATTTCAGACGATGGGTGCCGTGTACGCTTTCTTTACTGCACTAATGTTACTAAGCATCATTGCATCAACCTCGCAAGCTGAGCCGAGCCGCGGTAAGTGACATAGTTTAGAATGTTCATCACTGTGCATTGTCCATCATTGGCTCAGTCTATATTTGACAAATCATGTAATAAACAACAGACTTCAAGGGTTTTTCAATCGATGTGTCATATTCCACAGTCAACGTGATGAATCATTAGGACAATAACTTCAATAAAAAGCAGCGAATGGTATAGAACTTTTAAAGAAATAGTGTATGGCTATTTATTTTTACGGCTGCATTTCCCTCCTATTTAAAAAAGGTGAAGACTGTTACGGTTCACAAGTTATTCCTACCATAACTTCACGCAGTAATTATATTGATTTGGGACTTCCTGAAAATTTGGCGAGATTATGATACATTGCAGCTTTTCACCATCTGTAGTTGCGACAAGCTCGACGCATTTCAACTTTTCAGCACGTGCTACAACCACAAGCCCCGAAAATGAGCATCTGAACGCGTCTTCTATTACCAGCCTCGTAACTGTGCTAGAATTTTTACAAACCAAACTGGGCCCACTGATGTATTTTGCAGCTTACACAATCGAGAAATCGTGGCGCAGCAGCAAGTCACGTGCTGAACCGAACGACGAGATCGCTGCCAGTCGGTAACTCGTGCGCGATTTGCAGCTGGGCACCGGTTGTTTGCGAAACAACTGGCGGGCGACCGTTCCAGGTTCCACCTGGTGTAAAGGATTCATGTTTCGGGCTGATTTATGGCATCGTTTTTCTAGTTGTCTTACAAAGGTATACCACATATGACTTCCCATTGATATTTCTGAGTTCCAATTGACTTAGCGTATCTGAAACAGGAATAAACCAGTAGTAGAGAAGTGAGTTTGATATAGCTGGTAGCTATGAGCTGTAAAGATAATTTGCGCAAAACACACCAGACAGGGTGAAAACTACATAAAAGACGGATTGCATATAGCTTAAACTAAGCATTTATTCGCAGACAAATGTTCAGTTACTTCGAAGAAACGCTCAGTTTTTTCTATGAATAACTGTTCATTTATGCGCTCCGCCCTGTCTGCTGTCCTTATATATTCCGTGTTTTTCTTCGTCAATGATTTATGCCTGCAGATAAACCAGTACTGAATTCACTTACCTGTATATTAGGCTCTTAGCTGAACCTGGACTCATAGGGGCATTGTCCGTAATACCCCCCCCCCTCCCCCGTGTCATGCTTTAGCTTTCGAAACGATTGGCATGGCAGGCTGTATAGAAGAAAAAGCGAGTGAACAAAACAGAGGGAATGCATTCGCCATAGGGGAATATAAAATGGACCTCATTTGGTCTGGCTATGTTCATGTGCTTATATTGCTCCTTATATCGGCATCCAACGGTCACTGTAACTTTAACTTACGCGCTACCAGTACTCACTAAACGTCCTTCCCTTGTCGTCTTACCATTAATACTGAAACATGCTAGCCTCAGCTCAGCGATGAGCAACGAAGCTGTTCTAGCTCGCGAACGGTGCCGTGAACATTGCTTCGGTAAGGTACACCTTGCATTTTGTAAATAAACGCGTTCCATCGTCGCAATACTTACGGGTGGTGAATTTTAGAAAATTATGAACAGTGAATCAAGTAGCGTCTTATTCGATTTGATTTGGTACTCGAATGCAATTGCGCATATCCTAAATACCAATTGTTTTTGATATTTATTGAATAATCAGCAATGGCGAAAAATGCTCAAACGAATTATACGTGGACACAGCGTGTGGTAAATTTTGTTTTCCTCAGCACGGAATTACTTAAACGCATGCAGCCCATGTACCCACGGTACTGTTAACGCCATATTGGTGGCAGGATGAAGGCATTTAACTCGAAGCTGCAGTGGTGCCGAAGCAACAGTGAGAAATGAACTATCTTCGATATCAACTTCACGAAGATAACTCATGAAGATTGCTAACATGTAGGTATCACTTTCACATAGAAGCTATTGACAAAGTACCACCTTGAGTACTGTTGTCGCTGCTATATTTCAGCCTGCACTTAAAAATTTTTTGAATCCTATAGTCACTGCTTACTTTAAATAATTATATTATTTGTTGTCTGTTAAATGTAATCACCATTTTTTTTTTGTTAAAGCTTGCGAATATTTGTTTCAAACAAGGTATTGCGTAATTCTTGGGTTGTTTTAGAGATTGTCACCTTAATCTTTGAAAACAATTCAAATAGTACTCTATTCGATGCCATCATTATTCGGTTCGTATTCAATTCGGTATTGAAATTAACTGTTCGCATATTCCCATTATCATTCGCTAAATAATTCACCTGGCCCATAACCTGCACAACAGTCACCATACATACGCACAGTCACGCTTTCGCTTGTTTTTGTACCACTTTCTCTCCCGTTTAGACTAAACTGAAGTCACCTCTAAGCAGCTGAAGCCGCTATAAGCGGAAGCTTTTGAAAGTAACTCTTATTTAAAGTTAACAGTACGTAACACTATATCGCAGAAGCACAGTAAGCTTTCCAGCCTTCACGCAAACCTTCACGCAGGCCTCCAGCCTAGTGCCTCGTAAGCCACAGTAGTTTGTTGTGGTATCAGTAAACTTTGCCAATTGTTTTATAGAATTAAGTTCTTCGAGGAAAGTAACGCAAAAGAAATTGATGACATTTTTTTATTCACTCAATGATTTTGGGACAGTAATTTATTACAGCAGACAATGAAGGTTTTAAATAAGTAATCGGATTCTCATCTGTTGCTTATTGTGCCATCTTACCTCAAGTTTATGTCATATAGGAAGAAAGTGTTTAACACTGAAACCAGAATAGTGTCTTTCCTTAGCAACTTGGTTATTTCGAGGGGCAGTTATATTAACAGTGTTGTATTTATATATTAGCAAAATAGTAAAACACGATGTCCTGTAGTTCAAGACCTGTAGTGTTTCACTGCTGAAAGTTTGTTTCACATGTGTGCTTTCCCCGCCATCCTACTTTAATTAACAGTAGAAGTTCTTTTAGTTTAATTTATTAGAACGTGTTATTCACTGATGCTTTCCTGATTCGTACCTATTGTCTAATGCTCTCCTGATTCGCAGAACACCATTTTGCCTTATTAGACTGTGTTACAGCAACGCCCTTTCTAGAAAATGCGCTGCTTGCAGTGGACTCGCATATTGCCACACGTGCTCTTTCTACTTTTTATGTTACAGCCTCATTACGTGGGTAACGGATGACTAGCGCCAGGTGCATCCTAACTGGGATAGATATGTGGGGTTTATCGTCCCAAAACCACCATATGAATATGAGAGAGACCGTAGTGGAGGGCTTCGAAAATTTCGACCACCGGGATTTATTTAACGTGCACGCAGATCTGAGCACACGGGCCTACAGCATTTTCGCCTCCATTGAAAATGCAGCCGCCACAACCGGGATTCGATGCCGCGCCCGGCGGGTCAGCAGCCGAGTACCTTAGCCACTAGACCACCGTGGCGGGGCTAGCTTTCAAGGAGCATACACTATATTAAACGGTACTTCCTGCGCTGGCATTTCAGATTTAGATTCAAGATGAGCGGTAGACTATGCTTAAAAACTTTGAGTCATCTCCGTGTGGCGCGCTAAGCAACTTCGCTAGTAATCCGCCTTCGCAGGGTAAAATCAGAATGACTCATTCTTTGGTTAACTTTTCTGTTTCTTTATGTTCTGCAGAATCTCCGACTTGCACGTACCCTCAAGGTGAGTACCGATAGTATTTATCTTTAACCACTGCCCTAACTCATTTCTAGAACAATTTTTGCGTAAGGCTGCAAATAAATTACTTCTAGGCATGCTGCAATGACTTAGTTGTTGTCGTGTCGCTTTCTCTTTTTTTTTTTTTGCCCGAGTTCGGCAGTTTTATTTCCATCCGTGGTCAGCTACATCATTGCCGATTAAAAAGACAAAGGTAAACGAAAGGGATAGATAAGAGGAAACTAAACTAGACATAACATTAAACTCCATTGCAATACTTTAGATTCGCTGGTTACCACAGAACTTTAAAAAAATGGCGGCGTATCTGCGCGCTGCCAAAGGTCGTCGAAAGACGACAGTCATCTGTCTAGATAAAGAGAATAAAACGTTTTTTTTTTTTGTTTTACGTTCTGCACCAGAAAATTGGCGACTAGGCGCTGCGTCTGATATGGACGCCAACTAGAAGTAATTTCAAGAAACGAAGTTTTTTCTTGAACGCAAAGTCACTGGTAGGCGGCAGCGTTGGAAACACCTGTTTTTCGATCAAAGCGTCGCGCTGCCAGCGCCGCGTATAAGCATACGGTCTTTAGAATTGAGAATATATGCACTTTAGCAATAAAATAACATACTACCTGTGATCCCGTATTATGTTGCGCCAAAATATGCGTAATATGTGTTTTTAAAGTCGATAGTTTTTTCTTAAGGAACTTCGGCGCAAACATTTTGTTCTGTTTGTCTTTCTGCCTGTGCATTTGTCTTCCCACCGAAACGATACCTCAAACGGTTAAAATGCAACCCTATCCGCTGCGCCCATCAATATTGCTCATGTTTTAGCATTCATACTCGTGTGATTGCCAATTTAGAAGCAAACGTTGCGCATGTCTGAGGCACAATACCAAGCCTGGATGTGTGTTTTTATACTATAGAGAAGTCATACATAAGTAATTCTAAGAACCGTAGCATTTATCACGCTGCGCTGTCCTTGCAACGCTATGCACATAAAACCAAGTGTTTCCAATGCTTTTCTAAGACGACACAGTGGTGGCACCTGTTCGTCGCTTTGAGTTCTACATCTTACCGCCTCCGAGACAGGCGCGCACGCCTTTCTTCGTTTTTGAAGACTGGCAGTAAACTTAACGTGCGTTACAGTTACTGTATATACTACCTTTAGGTAGCATAGTTGCGCCAAGGTACGCTATCTTAGGTTAAGAGAGAGAGAAACAACTTTATTGATGGTGTAGCAAGGTCGGTCAACTTAATTTGCTGGTGGTTCGAAGGGTGGTGGCCAAAAGCTTGCCACAACTGTTTCGGCCCACTTAACCACTTCTGCCTGAAGACGGTAGTCAGCTGACGACAAGAGCGACTCCCACGCCTCGAGGGAGGAAGCTGGCAGTATTTTTCATGGTGGGGGGTTACCCTCGCAATCCCAAAGGATGTGATTTTGGGTAGCTTTCGCGCAGGTGCAATGTCGGCAGTTTGGTGTAATCGCTTCTGGCTAAATTTTAGACAGCTGATGAGGGCTGGGCAAAGAATCTGTTCGGATTTGCCTCCAGATCGTGGCCTGTTCCCTTGACATATCTGCCCGCGGAGCCGCGTATGTCTCGTGGTTCTCTCGGTAAGACGATGTAATTTCGTTATACGTGGTGATCCCTTCCTGCGGGAAATCCAGGGCGGAGGGTCCACGTCCCGGTTGATTAAACCTCGGGCTACGCGGTGGGTCGCCTCACTCCCTGGATTCCCGGGTGAACGGGCACCCACATAAGCTGTATTTTATTGCCTAGTTTCTTATTTTTGACAATTTTAGCCATGATGGGCCCAACACAGCCCATCTTGAAATTCATGAGCGCTCTTTTCGAACCACTCAGATTGTAATTGGTAGCCGGAATTGAATGTGCCAGCGCGATGGCGGCTTCTTTTGCCTCTAACGCTCAGGCAGTTTTTACGGTGGCTGCAGTAATAAGTTCCCCATTGCCGGTCACCGCGAATATGGTGTAACGGTCTCTCACTTGTCGAGCGGCGTCAACATACAGAACGTTTGGGCGATGCTGAAATTGTTTTGCGAGGTTTCCTGCTCTTGCCTTTCGTCTCTCGTCATGTATTCCTGACAGCATATATTGGGAAGGGTTTAATTATAATGTCTGCACGAGTTGCCGCTGGCAAGATAACCTTGTTGTCGAGCGTGCAACTGGTGCGTCGACCGAGATGGTTGAGTATGTGAAAGTCTGCTTTGGTTCGTGAGAGCCTTTCTTCTTGGGGCGTTAAATGCCCTTCTATTAGTTGCTCCACTGTGTTGTGGGTGCCAAAACGCAGTATTTTTTCAGTGCTTGCGTATCTGGGAAGTCCTAGGTCACGTTTATATTTTTGTCTAATTAGGGAGTATAGTTTTTCCACATCTATCTGAGTGTGTAGTAGGGGAACGAGTAGGTCACTCGACTGATTACAAAAGCGTGAATTAACTTGCATAGGTCAGATTCCTTCACTCCCTAATTTTTCTATGCCACTCTTCTTAGTAGCCGAGTAATTTGCTGTACGGATGCCTGTAACTTGTTAATAGCTTCTGTGTGAGTGTTATGCTGGATGAGCATTCCTAAAACCCTGATTGTACGAACAGGGGGACAACGTTCCCATTTACTGTAATATTGAATGCGGAGTTCGTTCCACTGTAAGGGTCATTCTTCTTGTTTTTCGGTCTCATCAATAAGAGCTCGGAATTGTTGGGAGAACAACTAATGCCCAGTTTCTTTACGTACTCCTGTACAGTGTCGGCGGCTGTTTGCAAGGCATCACAGATTTGCCCATCTGAGCCTGTGCAGGTCCATATGGTATCATCAGCATACAGTGAGTGCCTAATGTGTGGGATCTGATCGAAAAGAACGGGCTGGCCACGCATCGTAATGTTATAGAGGAATGGTGATAACACGGCTCCTTGTGGAGTGCCCCGTGTTCCAAGGGTGATTTTGTTGCTTTTGAGGTCGCCGATGGTTTGTTCAGCCATGCGTTCATGCAGAAAAGTTCTGATATAATTGTAAGCGTGACTGTCGACATTCATTTGGGCTAAGTTGTCAAGTACAGTAGCATGGAACACATTATCAAATGTTTTAGCGACATCCAGGCCCAGGATGGTCCTGGTAGTCGCTCTGTGTGTAGAATTTATTATATCATTGTGAAGGTGCAGCAAATTATCCTGTGTGGATAATTACTGGCGGAATCCCACCATCATGGGGGGTAGCAGGTCCCTCGACACTGCATAAGCTGTTAGTCGTCGTAGAATTTCGTGTTCCATTACTTTCCCTGAACAAAATGTAAGAGAAATAGGCCGAAGATTTTCCATACTCAATGTCTTGCCCAGCTTGAAAATAAATACTACTCGAGCATGTTTCCAACTTGGCGGTAGTGTCCCAGACGCCCAATGTTTGTTCATAAGGTCAGTAATTGCCGTATTAGACTTATCGTTTAGATTAGGTAATATTTTGTTGGAAATTTCGTCATCTCCTGGGGAAGCCGTTGTACGAATATTATTGAAAACAGCACGTATTTCTGCCTTGGTTATATCTCGATCTAGCTCATGGTTAGTATTTCCGGGGACTGGTCGGTGGATATCAGGGGACTGGTCGGTGGATTGGAGGTGAAATTGCAAAGCTGCCCGTTTGTTGCGGTAGCTTCTGCAGTTCCACTGCCAGAAGAGCGTGCTAGTCACGTTGGTCATCTTTTCGTAAATAGGGCGTTGCCCTGACATATTGGGTCGAGGGCATTTTGGGACTTTTGTGAGCCATGGGCTGCGTGGGAATTGAGGACGGTGTCTGTGGTGTGATTACGTCAGCCATAGCTGCACTCTCGATCAGAGCAGGAAGTGAATCTAAGCGATCTGTAAGATTAGCGAGAGCCATACAAAGGGCACCGATACTCTCAGCGAGTTGTTGGTTTTAAGTTGTTTGCTCCCTATAGACATTCTCTCGAATAGGAATTCTAGCCTTCACTTCGGTCATTGATTTGTGGCACGTTCGGGTCTGTGGTGGTAATTACGGCTGCTGGTTCGGCAGGCTTACGTTTTGTGTCCCTAAGCGCGTCTACGTCCATTGTGGCAGTGTTATCATTTTGCGCGGCACAGGCCGCAATCTGTTCGGTACTGCCCGTATAGTGGCGCTAGCGGGCGCTTGTTTGCGTTTCAATTGTTTAATTTTATTGTTAGCGGCTGCCCATTGTTATTGCAATAGTATGACCTGTTCTACCAACTCCCTCCCTCTGCTGATTTCCGAAGGGTTGTGTCTGTGGGTGTCGCTGCTTGTCCATGTGCCAAGTGCCAAGCAACGCTGTTTTCGTGTGGGACGGCCGGAGGTCTGTTGTGGTGATCCCGGGTCCTTGGCGGGGATCGGGAGCGGGCACCGTTGTCAGGTTCAGAAGCACTGGTGCTCCTTCCATCAAGCGACGGGAAAAATTCTTGATGGTTCTTATTGTCGGTTTTAGTATGCTCGGTCTGGGAGTCGGAAAGGTGCTGAGTTGCTTTGTCGGTGCTCTTGTCATTTCATGGAAGCTTCCTTTTCAGGAATCGGTATTTACAGTTGCGACTGCCGGTTAGGTGGTGTCACGAGGCTGTTTAAAGGGCATGCTCTCGTGTAGGTTCGTGTAAAGCGAAAACCACCGAGGACATAACCATCATCGGGAAATGAGCTGACGAGACCATTTGCTTCCACCCAAATCCCCAACACTACTTATATTTAGAAACATCTAAAAGACAAATAGCACACAAAGAACACGGAATACATAACTAACGAGAGGTTAGCAAGAAGAAAAAACGGCTAAAGACGTGAACACTGCATGAACATAAATCTTCTGTGGAAAATACGCCTTGTCACAACATAGCGGGACGCAGTGCTTGCAGCGAAAGCTGTGCTACCAAGGCATGGATAAACTCACACAAACGATGACAGCGGTGATGCGGGGCTTGCAACTGATGCGACCGAGTCATGGGGAAGACGCACTCATGCGGCAGGGGAAAGACTGGCGAT